AAAATTGAATGAAATAATGGAACAACTTTTCGCTAGTAAGTGACTATATAATATACATACGTGTAGTAAACCGATCATTTATGAAATTCACTTAAATTAACTAAATTATTTATTTTTCTTGCATTTTAGCTTTTATTTATTACTTGTCAAAGATTAGATGTCAAAGAATTTAGATACGTTAATTTCACTTACCTGCTTCAGTAGCGTATCGGATGTTTGTGTTAATAAATACTTATTATAACTTATCTATTTTTATTAGAATTATATATTTTTATAACAATTTTAATAACTACCAACATTTATTCACAACGTAAAATAAAACAAATTATTGAGTCTACCCCACGTCTACCCTACATCATAGTTTTACATTTTTTAAATAAAATTAGAACGACACTGATAAACCGGAATTTAAGTCAGCCATATTTGAGGCCCATCGCGGTGTACTTAAGATTTTTGATATGCTCCTTCCTTAGTCTTCTTATTCAAAGATTTAGATCAACAATTTTGTTTTATCAATATATCTAGATTGCAGATATTTTAAAATTTATATTTATTATATGTTTGAACTGGAAAAGGTGAAAGTATTGAATAGCTTTTGAACAAATCCAAACAGACCTACAAGTTTACTTTATTTCTTAAATGAATTAATGAAAAAAAACTATTATGCAAGTAAAAAAACCTAGTATGTTACCTCTCACACGGCCGAACTAATTTTGTGCAAATTTGTGACCGCCTCTTATAATTTACGTTTATTTTGCAAATGTACGATTGACCCGTTTCATCACAAATGCCAATTCGCAGTTTCATCACGAAGAGCAGCCAAGCAACTACTTTCATTTTCTTCGCTAAAATAACCTGGTTACCTAAAGCTGACCATACACCACATACTTCCTTTATGCATCTAAATGTCAGACCAATATGAACTAAGTAAATGTATTAGGCTTTTAACAGCATAAACTACTGATATTAAATTTTACTTCCATCAGTTATTATATAAAAGCGTTATGTTTCCTTGATATACAGGGACCAACCGAAAATATTCTATAATAATATAATACTAATGGGCCTTTTTTTCCAAATACTAATCTTTCCTTTTGAGAAAATTGGGATATGATTAAAAATACGATTTGGGCATCTTTTAACCGGTCAGGGGACCCTAAAAACATTAGACGATCAAATCTATTTTTCCAAGGCTCCTTGATTAAAAATTACCTTAACGCTACCCAGGATTGAAATTTAAAACACGATTTTTTTAAAGCGAGAATGTCAAAAGTTGACATATGACATTTTATCATTCTATTTAGAACAGCATTTTGTATCGAATAAAGCTTTGAATAAGAAGACTAAGGAAGGAGCATATTAAAAATCTTAGGTACACCGCGATAGGCCTCAAATATGGCCGACTTAAATTCCGGTTTATCAGTGCCGTTCTAATTTTATTTAAAAAATGTAAAACTATGATGTAGGGTAGACGTGGGGTAGACTCAATAATTTGTTGTTTTATTTTACGTTGTGAATAAATGTTGGTAGTTATTAAAATTGTTATAAAAATATATAATTCTAATAAAAATAGATAAGTTATAATAAGTATTTATTAACACAAATATCTGATACGCTACTGAAGCAGGTAAGTCAAATTAACGTCAAAATTCTTTGACAAGTAGTAAATAAAAGCTAAAATGCAAGAAAAATATATAATTTAGTTAATTTAAGTGAATTTCATAAATGATCGGTTTACTACACGTATGTATATTATATAGTCACTTACTAGCGAAAAGTTGTTCCATTATTTCACTCAATTTTTGCCGAGATCTACCGCACGCTACACAACCAACTATTTTAGAGTCTTTTTCGATAAATCACTGTTAATTTAAGTTCTGCCACAATTTCCATCTAGATTTACTACCTTTATACAACTATCAGTAGTAGAATAAATAATAAATAACATAAAATAAACTCCGTAAAGACTGACAAATCCACAAAATTTCAAATCAAATTCAAATGTGTCAAATGAATCATCAAACAGAACTGTCAAGGATCCCCACCCTAGAGTCCTTTTTCCGCCCACCATGCATGAACACATGGATAGCATTATGCTCCTTCCAATAAAGTAATAATATACCGAGAGCGCCATTTAAAAATCAAAAATTATTGTCATTTCCGGTGAAACAGGAAGTGACCGAAAACAATTTTGAATACTTCAACCAAACCTAATTTATGTCATATACTATCAAACCAAATCTCGTTTTTTATCTGAAAAAAATATAAAAAAGTTATAGTGGTGACACTTTTTAGACACACCTGATATACTATGTAGTATTTTAATTTCGTCCTAATAGGTTGAAATGTATGTCTATCAAATAAATGACCTACATTATCTAAATATACAATTTTACAACTTCTGGTTATAAAAATTGCAATTTATTTAATTACCCACAACATAACCCACATAGAAATAATATCTCTAACTAGAACAAGTGAGTCAAACTTATTAATTAAAAATAAAGCTAATTTAACATGAGATAATTTACATTGTACTTTCACAGTAAATTGATAAAAATAAATAAAACATTTAAATATTCTAGAAAAACGCCAAAAAAAAACAAAAAGGTAAAATATATATGTATGTTATAAAGAGAAGTAACACTTGGATAAGATGTATGGGTCAAGAGGTAGAAATTCCGGTGAGTCAAGAAATTGCAAGAATGGTAATTTTAAAGAAAACAAAGACGTTTCGTTGTAGGTTACGTATAATTGGTGTGCTAAATTTCATCATGGATACCTTAATTGTAATTGATTTCAGTAAAATCCTGTTGTGTGTTAATCTTTACTTAAATACACACAGATGAAAAAAAAAAACACAACGGAGAATTTTTTCGTCAACTTTAAAATGATATATTTTTTTACTTTTGGTCCTGTTTTTAATTTTTTTTTTAACTTTAGTATTTGGCTTATTATACAAAGTTAATTGAAGGTTTTCTTTTAAACCGTACATTTAAAACACCCTGTGCAATAATTTCGTGAGTATCTTTTCCTAAAACATTATTTTTCGATCAGAACTATGTTTTCTGGAGCATTTTATTTTTTGACTCATATCAACACAAACAATTTACAATTTTTTCAACTATCGTTACTGTATGATGTTGTTTTTTAATATCACGAGATGGCTTTGGCGACTATTGTCGTAATGGCATATCCACACTGATTAGAACTCTATACTAAAATTTAAAAAACGTTAAAAAGTAACGATACAGGCTTGGTTTTAATAAATATTAATAACTCTAACAGAACTAGGAATATTAAAAAAATATAACTGTAATAACTAAGTGTACAAACAAACAGAAAACTTGTAAAAAATACTCAATACTTTGTATTGCATCTATCGAATAAAGTAGAAAAATACTGAGGGTGACATTATGTCTATCAAATCTCGTTTTTTTTATCTGAAAAAATAAAAAAGTTATAGGGGATGAGCCACTTTCGAGACGCACCCGGTATAATACTTGCTCTATTAATCCAAGGAGGTGCTACCCGGTGGTTAACCCCAGTATACACCCATTAAACACAATTTATCTATTAAATAATGCTAATTGTCCAATGTTATATGCCACTTCTAATAAGGAGAAATATTCAGCTCGTTAAAACACTTTGCAACTAATTTAGTTAAGAGGCAAAAAATAGGTTATTATGTTAATACAAGAGTATCTTCAAGTGAATGCATGTCAACTAAAGACAAGCTTCCTTATTACAATTAAAAATACACATTGTGTTATACCGTGCTGGCAACTGTTACTTTTGGGTCGGCATTTACATGTGTGGAAGTAAATCGCATAGGGATCTTATTAAGTCGGAGTGAGAGAAATGCGACGGTGTGCTGTTGCGCCGTTGCCGATACGCCTTTCCCAATCAAGTAAAGTGAAATCACGATCGCAAACCGCTTATTTTTAAAAGACTTTTTTTCAAGAGATAACTAGATAAAATCATTAGACATGTTGCTGAGCATCTGAAATGAAATTATAAAGATATCGTTAGGGTGTTATTTTTTTTTAACGAGAAAACGTCAGTAATCGCGATAATTTAAAAACTTTTTAACACAAGAACTTTAACACAAGGCCATAACTCAAGAACCACTTTAGATATTGAAACTTTTTTTTTGTTTTCAAGATCGGATATTTTACAATATGTTTACAAAAGAAAAATTCGATAAGGTTGTTTTTTCCATTCAAAAATTGTAAACAATCCAGGATAGCAATTTTCAGCAATCGTGTAATTTTTTTATTGATAAAGATTTTCACATACTGTCTACAAAGAAAATACAGCAGAAATATTAACAAAGTTCTTGAAAAAAAATACAATCTATTATTTCTAATAGATTTTGAGATATCGATTTTTGAATTCAGAGTTCTAATAGCGCGACCACTATCGAACACCTATTCAATTCCACTTATTTTTACCAAAACTGCAAGTGTTTCTAGCTTGCACTTAAAAAAATTCAAGCTATAGGGAAAATTACAACGACTCGTTAGTAAATAAACAAATTAAGTATCACCAGACGTAATTAAATCGTGAAGCTGAACGCATGACGTACACCTTTCCCTAGAACTTTAAGTACTGACAGAGGTATTGATTGGGTCGACCGGTCAACTGCGACAAATCTGCTACATCCCCTTCCACGTCTCTTAGCGATGTGCACAGTTTCTCGGTTTATTTCATACGTTTGGCAACGTGCTTACTGTCCTCTCTTTGTTCAGTACATTATAAACGCCATTGTACTCTTCTTATATACGGAAATCTCGACCCAAGACTAACCTTTGCCAGCCCTTAGTATTAATTTAGCTACATAGAACCCTGTCATTGGTTTCTTTTGGAACATTTTTAAAAAATATAGAAGTTCAGTCGAATTCTAAGAAATCTCGAAGATGTTTAGAAATTCATATGAAGTTTTTTTTCTTTAATTTTTTCTAAAAATTCGTAACCGATAATTATAATTTCTTTGACAGGTAATAATCGGCTGCATATCATCTGTAACCCAAGCAGCGGACGAGCATCGACCCAAGAAGAAGGAAAAGCGCAATTTGGAGCACACCCTGTCGCACCACTACTCGGCGCCGCACAGCTACAGGCTGGAGAGGAGGATCTCGACGGGCCCCCAGAACCCGCCCCTCCAACCTCCGCCACTGTACTATCCCGGCCCTCCCCGTCCGTATCGCAAAGGTAGACCGTATTATCTTCCCGTACCTCCATACGCTGTTCAGATGGAACCTTTAATCCACTATTCACAGCGCGATCCTTTATACGATACTAACAATTTGTCCCCTGATCTAGATAATGGCCAGAACTCGCTAACGGAGAACAGTTATCCACTGGATAGAGGAGGAAGCGGAGATACTATCTACATACCGCACAAGCCGTTCGTAAAGATCGTAGAGAAACCGGTGTATATCAAGGAACCCGAGCCTATCATCGAGATCATTATCAAAGAATCCAACGTGACGTTGCCTCCACCACCGACAGAACCTCCCTTACCCCCACCGAAAAAGAAGAAAGAAGAGGTACAGGTCTTTTACGTGAAATACCGTAAGAATCCTAATGGTTACGGGAAGGATGCTGTGATTTACGATAAACCTGTACCAGCTATATCACCGGCTATTCCCGAAGAGCCCGAACCAGAACAAGAATGGAAAGAGCCATCTCCAGGATATGATTCGTATGCCAACGAAGTTACTGAACCTCCTCGTCCCAGCACCACTCTAAGAACGATTATCAAACCCGATTCGGAAGTGTATCACAGTCCTGGAAATAACGTTAAAGTTACTTTTGGAAAGGAAGGGTTTGATTACAGTAAAAGGGCCAGTAAACCGGAAGATTATCCTGGCATTCCGGGGGTCCCAGAAGGTCGCCAGCTATCTTCTTTCTCTAACGTGTACTTCAAGAGACCAGGCTCGAATTATCACGGTAGCGCCAGCGAATATCGGCCAGAGTTTAGAGCACCTCAACCTTATCGACCATTTAACAGTTTTCCACAGTCTTCTAACCAATATAATAGTCGATCGCCTAACAGAGATTTTAACAGTAGACCACCGCCGCCATTCTTTCCGCCAACTAAACACTCATCTAACACGCAACCTCAATCTTTCCCCAATTTTTCACACTCGATTTCTCATCCTCCTCCACCGCAATACCAGTCGCAGCATAAATATTCACAGCCAAACCAGCATTCTGCCCCACCATCGCACTTCCATTCTCAACCTCAATTTGGGGATGTTCTTCCTCCTGGTCAACGCAAACCAGTTCCTTATACCCCCTTCGATAATGTAAGACCATCGCAGCCAGTCTTTTCACAACCATTACCCTCATCTGAACCGACACATCAAACATTCAATTCACCACCTCACCAACCATCATTACCTCAGACTAAACAGCACATCCAGTTTAGACCTGAAACGCACATCACTAATCAAAAACGACCATCTTCACGTCCATCGCCTAGTTTTGCCGAAGTGAATAATCAATTCAAAGTAGTTGAAGAACCAAAAGTGCAACAGATACAGCAGCAATTTAATCAGTATCAACAGAACCATGAACTGAACGAACAAGTTCGCTACCAACAACAAAATAACAATATAAGGACCGGTGAAAAAGTTATCCCGCCTGGAGGTGAGCTTGTTCAATCTCTACCTAAATTTGAACAACATTTAATAGTTGATCCACAAACGGGAAAGCTAACTCCAACGCAAACCCCTCACCAGCAAACATTTTCCGTTCAGAACCAACGACATGCTCAGGATGCACCTCAATTGGTTAAACAAGCTAAATCGCAAAATTTCCAGAATGTTCCACAACAGTATATAACCCACGCTGCACCGCAAAATGTTTTTATCAATCAGCACCAAAATTCGTATTCTCAAAGGTATGTTTTTTTATAGTTCCATTCACTTATGTTATTTGACCTATTTGATTGCTTTTTATCGAATAAATTTTAATTATCTTCAGGCACTTTTTTCTGCCAGTTTTTGCAATCTGTCGAATATCGACAGATTGCAAAGCGTCTCAGTTGAATTCCGTCCGTCGAGCTGCGAGGTTCGAGCGTTGCGTCCCAGCACAGGGACGGATTGACAAAAAATAAGTAAATAATATATAAATATATATATAATAAACATTTAATTATATTTGTTTATTTTAGAAGCTGAGATATTATTTAATTAATTAAATGTTATTATTTTTTTAGCATGTGGGCAAATTTTAACAATAGTTTTTTAGATATACAGGTTGTCTCAAATATGCGCATGAAAATATTTTTTGGTCAGGGGATTTGCCATAAAATTTCCATTCCAATAATAATTTACGAGATAATTTATATACATAGATTGGTTTTTGAAACAATTTTAGAGTAAATATTTTGTATATCTAAAGTCTCCGCAAATTATTCATATTTTTTAATTGAAAGAATTTAATAATAGCATAATCTCTTACAAATTTAGTGAACTGTATTCTTTTATGTTTTTTTTTATTTTATTTATTTTTTATTATAAGTGGTCGTAATATAACAATATTCAAAATATTATAGACAAAATATTGAGTTTATATTTGAGGGAAGAAAAGTGCCACACCTAGCTTTAAACAACCGTAAATATACGGGATGGCCCATTAATGCGAGGAAGTCCAATCTCGTAGTCGTTGTCGAAGATTTGAAAAAAGTTTTATTTATATGTATCAAGGTTTATAAAGGGGCGTATCCAAAAATATTTTGTTATATACAGTTAAAATCCAACTAAAATATGTCATTATATATTATTTCCGCATTTCTTCCCATCAGAAGATTTTCAGATACAGAAGAATTGTTACCTACACGAAATGTGAAAATATTCTGTTTTCAAGCAAGTTTTTATTCGATGATCAATTTTTTTATTTTATTTTATTGTGAACTCAAATTTTCCTAAATACATATCTGTGAAACTATGGCGAGTGCCACGACTATACTTTGCCCAAGAACAGTTAACCTAATAGGACTGCTCATTCAGCCAAAAGTGTCCGCCAGGTGCATGCGAAAACTACTCGCTTTGTGACGTCATTGTAGTCCTTGTCATGGTTGTGAGTCCTTATCTGGCAACCAATAATACACACACGTGCATTATTGGTTGCCGAATGCAAAACGTTCACTATTTAGTTTATTTATTTAAACACCTTATATGTATGCAGTATAGAAAATTAACTGTATAAATCGTATTAAATACTCGGATAATGCATTTTTAAGAACAGCAGTTCCCAGCATCACCTTTTGCAAGCATTCTTTTTAGAGTACTTCCATATTTTGCTTTAAAATAATTAATAAACAAAATCGTGGGCACTTAGTATGCACTTTGTCACAATCCACAACACAAAATGAACGTATTTATACACTCTATAGCTCTAAAAACTTTAAAGACACCTTTTTCACATTTAAAATTGACAAAATAATTAACTCAAAATTTCTCAGCTGTTATTTTTATAAGTTTACCATAGGCAACTAATAATACACACTATCATAACAAGGCCACGAAGGCTTTGACAAGACTACAATGACGTCACAACTGTCAGCTGAAGCGCGGGAAGAGGCGAACGTACGTCTTATGAGGATGAGCAATCCTATTAGTTTGCCGTTCTTGTACTTTGCCTAGTTAATTTACCACGACTATACAGCTACGTCAGTGGTCACGGGAGACGAGAACAAGGTTATATAAAGTGACTGAAAAAGAACAAAGGATTTGACAAGAAGTAAAGCTACTAGTTTCCTTATACTATGATTTCGGCATCGTTTAACCAACAAGTAAAAGACATGAAAAACATTAAACCTTCAAATCTATTTTTCCAAAGCTTTTTAATTAAAAATTAATGGTGTTAACACAACTTTCAAAGTCAAAAGTCAAAAGTTGATATATGATATGTCATTCTATCCAGAATGTCATTTTCTATCAAATTAAATAAAAATATAATGAGGGTACCATTTAAAAATCAATAGTTGTTTTTTAAAATCAAATTTCGTTTTTTTTTTATCTGAAAAAATAAAAAACTTATTAGGAATGAGACACTTTTGAAAAAACACCTGGTTATTCAAAGTTGCAATTTATTCGATAAACAAGCAATCGAATGGCGGTTGGTGCCACGATTTCGTGGTCACCCCGTACAATAAACAATTTGTAGTACCCCCAGGTCATACACGCCCACAAGTAGTCCACCTACAACGACAACTACAACTACCCAAGTACCTGAAACTCCATCGACTACAACTAAGGATCCTAAAATTCTCCAAGCACAGTTACCAGACGAAGTTCCCGATGATCTCAGAGAACAGCTTCTCTCTTCGGGAATCTTGAACAATGCCGACATCTCCATTTTAGATTACGATAAAGTAGGAGATATCCCTCTATCTGCCCTTCCGCCGGACCAACTTGCCAACTTCTATGGCGCTGGTTAGTTTTTAGTCATATATGCTTCAAAAAGGGTCCGGCAATAGTGCGTCGGGTATCTGTAGCAGCTCATAGAATAAAAAAAGTTTGGAATTTAACTAAAAAAAATAGTTTTTTCAGCCTTTTTTAAAAAAATTATTAAAAATACAAGAAATGTCCAGAAATCAAAACTATATCAAGTGTTTACTACAGTGTGTCTACAAATATCGTAATCTTTAACGATACAGGGTGTTCAAAATTCTGTCTTAAACTTTTTAAAATATAAAACAGGTTTTCTTCGTTTTTTAAACTTTATTTTATCCCGATATTTTATCCCACCGCTGCCACCAATTTTTATGTGACAAAACTTTCAAGATTTGTCCGTTATCATGGTAGTGTGGCCTTTATATAATTATAATTAAGATAATGACCACACTACCGTGATAACGGACAAATCTTGAAAGTTTTGCCACATAAAAATTGGTGGCAGCGGTGGGATTTTAAAGCTGACAGAAAGATATTTAGTTTTTCCCAGAGAAACGAGTCCTTTATTCTAAACAGTTTATACGAACTTCTGAAAAAATACCAATTTAAGGGCGGAAACACATTTAACTTTTAACAAGCTAGGTTTGTTGTCTGCTCTAAAATATTCCATTGCAGTAGCAATGTGTCCCATTAATTACCGGGTGTCCCACTAAGAATAGCTCTCGGCTGTATTTCGGAAAGTATTAGCCGTAGGTCCTACGGAAAAAATATTTATAACTAAAGAGGCTATGAGAAATTGCTGGAAATTATTTTCAAGTTTGTAAAACGGCCGCTAGGTGGCGCAACTGCTATGGAAAAAAATAAAATAGATTTTTTACAGAATTTTGCCTAGATAATGGGTACTATAAATAATAGCTTCATAATCTTCAGTAAATTTTGGATTTTTTTTGTTAGAACCATTTTCCCCTATCTGCTAAAATAAAGTGGTGGGGGAAGGTTAGATCTATTTTTATTTAAATGTTAATAACTCCGGACTGGATGATCAGAATCCAACACAACGTGGGCTCCTTTAGAAGAGCGTTTCTTACTCTATATTATACCATAAAAATAATAATAATAAGGTTTTGAACGTAGACGCTAGGGGGCGCTTTCTTACAATTTAACAAACATAGCGCGTTTTTTCAAAAAAATTAAATACGATGGTATGTGTTACTTTAGCTGATAGTAAAGAGTAGTAAAAGCTTAAAAAGTCAGCGAAAACCGCATCTTGATATCTTCTTTCAAACCGAAAATATTAGCAAAATTATAATAAATACCAAAAAATAAGCCTTTAATTACCTTATTTTTACAATACAGTATCAGTAGCCCTCTTGATTAGGCCCATTCTAACAAAAAAATAAGATAGAAACAGTTAGTTTATTTTAAAATCGACGAAATACCAGATGTATTAATATCTAATAATTAAGATATTAATAATAGTGAACAAGAAACGATGATTCAGTAAAGTCATGGTAGGCTTTGGAAAAAAGTTGCTTTTCGCGTAATAGTATAAACGTCAAATTGTTATTAGATCAACATTTTGATAGTCTTAGCAGCTTTTTTTATCTTTTAAATGCTTTTTCAAAATGCCTTTATTATTTGAAGTAGTTGAAGTTGTTGAAATTTTGAAAAAGCAATTAAAAGAAATCAAAATCAATTTATCAAGATCTAATAACAATTTGACGTTTATACTATTACGCGAAAAGCAACTTTTTTCCAAAGCCTACCATGACTTCACTGAATCATCGTTTCTTGTTCACTATTATTAATATCTTAATTATTAGATATTAATACATCTGATATTATGATATTCTGGTATATCGTCGATTTTAAAATAAACTAACTGTTTCTATCTTATTTTTAGGTTAGAATGGGTATAATCAAGAGAGCTACTGATACCGTGTTGTAAAAATAAGGTAATTAAGGGCTTATTTTTTGGTATTTATTATAATTGTGCTAATATCTTCGGTTTGAAAGAAGATATCAAGATGCGGTTTTTGCTGACTATTTCAGCTTTTACTTTACTATCAGCTAAAATTACATTTACTATTGCATTTAATTTTTTTGAAAAAACGCGCAATGTTTGTTAAATTGTAAGACAACGCCCCCTAGCGGCTACTAAAAGCTTATTATTGTTTATATGGTACAATATAGAGTAAGAAACGCTCTTTCAAACGAGCCCTCGCTTGTTGGATTCCAATCATCCAGTCCAGAGTTATTAATATTCAAATAAAAACAGATCTAACCTTCCCCCACCAATTTATTTTGGTAGATAGGGGAAAATGGCTCTAACAAAAAATATTCAAAATTTACTGAATATTATGAAGCTGTTACTTATAGTACACCTTATCTAGGCAAAATTGTGTAAAACTCCATTTTCTTATTTTTTGTTGCAGTTGCGCCCCCTAGAGGTCGTTCTACAAACTTGAAAATAATTTCCAGCAATTTCCCATAGCCTCTTTAGATACAAATATTTTATTCCGCAGCCGCTACGGCTAATACTTTCCGAGATACAGCCGACAGCTATTCTGAGTGGGACATCCTGTACATGGAATATTAAAAAAATGCCATTTTTTCACTACTAAAATTTGTGAGATCTCATGTCAGTTTCCTTCATTTAGTTTCTATTGAAGCGTCTATTCAACAATTTTGTTATAAATTGTTAGTATAAATATTAGGCATCTGTTTATTTCTGTGATAATTATAATATGTTATTCTACTTATTAAAATTTTTTGCATTTGCATGATATGTTATTCTACTTATTAAAATACTTTTAAATCGAAAAAAACCACAATCGAAATAATCCGAATTTAGCTACTCATTTTATCATATCTACACGCTCTTTTTTCATATTGATACCCAGGTGGAGCTCAGCAGCTAGCAGCTGCCGGTAGCGAGCCTTTACCACAAGTGGCAGCGTTGGCAGCTCCAAAGTCTGTATCGTACAAAGATCAGGAAATGGAAGCTGAAGAATCGGAAGTGAGTGAAGTACGAGCAGAACCGGACCAGCAAACTGAATTAAAAGTCGTTAAATACGACCCTGAAAGCGAAAAAGGAAAAGAAGTACAGGAAAAATACATTAAAGAAAATTCCCAGCAAGTCGATCCTGTAGTTCTAAATGACAGTAGTTATAATAGGTAAGCGTAGTATTTACAGTTTGTACAATATTTTGATTGTATTTTTTGATTTCTATTCTGTTGCTCATTACTAATAATTCTAGAAAAAAAAAACACATTTATTATTTTTAGTACTTGCCCTTTCAATGAAACCTTAACAAAAACAAGAAAAAACTCTTAACAAAGAGAAAATGTTTCTTTTGACCAGATCTACCACCCTTTAAAATACTTGCACTTATTTCTGGGACACCCTGTATAATCCGTTAATCATAAATATATCCTTGCAGGTACCTTCCACTGAAAGTCAACGGCACGCAGTTTCCTATTCCAGACGTTGCAGAACTAAAAGGAAAACGAATATCCAGCGTGGTGGTTCTGGCACCTATCAGTTACGACTTTAATTCCAACAGAAAATCGCGCAGCGTTAATAGCAATAACGACATCGAGCTGATACAAAGCGAACCTTTAAAGAAGCTTTTGGACGATCCGACGTCTGAAAATTACAAACTATTCTTGGAAAGCGAAAAAAAGACTGTTCCCGCTAAACAATCGATAATATTACTTGTAACTGGGTAAGTTATAAGTTGTTGCAAACAATGGTTCATTATTATATTATTTTTTTCAGTTAATTTTGTTAATAATTCTTATGGAAAACTGCAATAAAACACAAGTTGAATGAGATTACTTAATTCATAGACTTTTTTAATATTTGAATTTAGTTGAAAAGATAACTAGTCGAGTTCAATTAGCTCATCATCAAGTTAATTGTAGATCATCATTATTTTCAGCTTTATAATATACAGGGTGTCATTGAAATGATTTGAAAAAAATCGGGGGGTGATAGTACACCTAAAAATAGTAAAAAAAGTTCCTATAAGTATTGGGCGGAAAATGCATATTAAGGGAGTTAGGGGCACTGAAAGGATGAATTTAAAAAACGGTTGTTTTGAAATTGTAGGCTGAAAAAACGAGATAAGACTTCTAAAAAAATAATTTTACTTTTTCGCTGGTCGTATTTTTAAGAGATCCTGTATTAAACTGCGTTAGTTAAATCATTTTTTTTTAATTTCACATTGTAGAAGTAACGAATATCCTACAATTTTAAAGTTAATTTCAGTTTTGTTAGCATATCTCTTAAGAAAGGTAGAAAAAATTACAAGTTAGAGTAAAAATTGATTATCTTTTATTCCAGATATATATATGTATGGGGGTCCTACAGCTTCTGCCGCATCCCGCATTTCGACCTCCATATTGCTCGATTTTGCCATTCTTCCTGGTTAATAGCTCTGTCTCTCATGTACTGGTCTACTCCATCTAACCACGTAGTTGTAGGTCTTCCTCTTTTCCTTCTGCTTTGGGGACGATACCCCATTGCTCTTTTTGGCCATCTTTCCCCTCCCATTCTTTTTACGTGCCCATACCATAGTAGCTGTCTCGATTCGATGTTGTCGGTGCTGGTATATATTTGCCTTGTTCTTTGCCTGATCTCCTCATTTCTAATGTGTTCCATCCTTGATATGCGACATGCTCTTCTGAGAAAGTCCATCTCCACTGACTCGACCATCCTTCTTTCTTTTGCTGTAAATTGACAGCATTCGGCACCGTATGTTAAAATTGGCTCTACGATTGCTTTGTAAATCCTTATCTTTGTTTGGATGGATGTTTTATTTGACCACAGGAGATGGTTTAAAAGACGGATTACTTTCTTACCTTGTTGAACTCTACTATGTATATCTTTCTTGGAGTTCCCTTCTTCAGATATAATACTTCCTAAATATTTATATTCGCTACACCTTTTAATTTCATGTATGTGTTGTTCAGGATCTTCAGTTTGTTCTTCTCCTACTTTCAGGTATTCGGTTTTTGTGAGGTTGATATTGAGTCCCCATCTGTCGTATTCTTCCTCAAGTTTCCTGAACATATAGTCGGCATCCTCCTCACAACCTGGAACAATAACTTGGTCGTCTGCAAAGAACAAGGTCGATAGACAGTGGTTGTCAATCTCTATTCCCATAGCTCTACTCTTCCTTCTCCAGTTTTTCAGTGCCTCCTGGATATATATTTTAAATAAGGTAGGTGATAAACTGCACCCCTGTCTAAGTCCTTTAGATGTCAGGAAGGATTCCGATAGGAACAATAGATAGATCAATAATAACTAAATTCAAAGAAAATATGGTTCAATTATTATGATATGGTAGAGCAGAGACGTGTCGCTCAACATTTTTTTGATAATGATAATGTATTTTGATGTTAATAATTAAAAATTAACAGGTTTCTAAAATTATATGCAATTAGACGTACCAAATAAATAAATGTAAAGACAATATGAACAGAGGTATTGGCCTCATTCTTTCTAGTTCTTTATTCCTATAGCTTTAGTTTCAGTAATATATTGTCACGCACGATTTATTTTGTCTGGTTTTGCTGATTTTGTCACGCCTGGTAACAATACCAATCGAGTATCTCTGATCTGATCATATTTTTGGATTTTTGTACATATTCCAGATTGCATTGATATATGTTTTACTCACATTTGCCTCAACCAAGATTTCAAATAATTTCTTCAAAGGCACCGTGTCATAGGCTTTCTCTAAATCTAGAAATACCAGATGCGTGTCCAAATTTCGAGCTCTCCTTTTTTCAATTATTTGTTGTAACACAAATATGTTGTCTGTACAAGAACGCCCAGCGCGGAAACCACCTTGTTCTTCTATTTCTTCAAAGCTCTCTTCTACTCTCTCTTTTAATATCCTGCCATACAACCTTCCCATTGAGCTTGTCAAACTAATGCTCTGTAGTTGCTACATCTTTTTTGTCTCCTTTCTTAAAGATAGAGCTGATGTACGCCAGGTTCCAGTCTTCAGGAATGTTTTCGTTTTTATCAGGCATCTGTTGAAGATATCAGCTAGTATTTCCAATAATATATCGGGTCCCTGCTTTATTAGCTCAATGAAAATGTTTCCCGGCCCCGCAGCTTTTCCGTTTTTTGAGTTCTTCAATGCTTTCTTTATCTCGTTTACACTTATTTCATTTACATCTATATCTTTTGCGTTTTTCAAATCTGGCATTTCTAGTTTGAAATCTATCCTGTTTTCTGTCAGTAACTGTTTGTAATGGTCTTCCCACTTTTCAATGCTTATAAGTTTTAGTTTACTGTTTTGCTTTTCGTCTCTTCTAAGGTTCCTTATTGTCTTCCACGCTTCTGACACTCTTGTACCTCCCATATATCTTTCCACTCTCTCACATTTGGTTTCCCACATTTTGTTTTTGCTTTTAGCTACTTCGCGTTTAACTTCCAAATACGTCCTGAGATATTAGTCTTAGCTATACCCAACTCTCTCTCTCTCTCTCTTATAATTCTAGTTAATTTTTTTTTTGGGCAAAATGACAGCAACACAAAAATTACATTCCTTTTTTTCACACCCTGTATATCATACAAAATTTAGAAAAATCAAATCAATCTACGAAAAACGATCTTTAATATGCTAAAAAAATCAACAAATTCGGTCCATTTTTTTCAAAGTTACAACTCGTTGAAAATGAGTAAAAAAATATCTGTATTTAATTTGACGGGCAGTTTATTTGTTAACAACGACGATATTCAACTTCCTCGCACTAATGGGAAACCCCGTATATACTTACCTACATATCAAGTAATCCGGGGTGCCGGGCCCTCCCTAGGTACTGCTGGGCACCCCCCAGAGAAATCCTGAACTATGACTCTTGGCTACGTATTAATTTTTATTTGCTTGTGATGCAGTAAAAATTACGTTTTCTAGTTTTGTTTAGTTAATATCATTTTGTTGTGTTCAAAAAATGTGGTTTTTATTTTTTTAGAAAATTTGTCGGTATTTTTAAGTAATGGGAATACGGTTTGATAACCAAGTCTATGAAATTTATTGATAGAGAAATTTATGTAAATGTTTTATTCAAAAAATGTGTTTATTAAAATTATTTTTCAATTTAAAAAAAAAGCCCTAGGCCCCCCCTGGGCTCAGCCCCTGCTATTACGCTAATGGTGTTTTGGTATTACTGTACTGTTAAAAACCTATATTTATACTAATATTTTTCGTTACTTTATAAACTAGACCAAACGGACCAACCACTGAAAAAGAAATATTTATGTACGACATTGCAACGAAGACGGTGAGCAAACTTAGTGGCGAACTTTCTTCAGCGTTTGTAGAGGCGGCCGAGGCCAACTCAGACGACGAAACACACTCAGATGCAGCTTCTGAGCAAATCTCTTCAGGTAAAAAATAATTATATATTTTTAAGTAGATATCAAACAAGGAACCCTTCTGTTGTACAAAACAAAAGCAATTAAAAAAATGGCTACACCTTTGGCTGCATCTTGAATTGATTTTCCTTTTTTTCTATGGTTTTTCGATATACAGGGTGGTCCGAACTGTATTCCGGAAATTTCGGCAGCATATTCTGCAAATAAAAATAAATAAAATAGGTCATATAAATGTATGTCCTAAAATGCTTAGTTTCGGATATACAGGGTGTAGAAGTTTCATGTCTGGGAGTTTTTTGATATGAGAAATTTGATTTTGAAGTAAGTATTTGATATTAAAGTATCTACTCCACATAGCTAATGTTTATTTTTTGTCAATAATGACATGTACTGACTATTTCAATTCTAAATATCTTAAGAATGGTTGGCTCTCCCAATAATTTTATACAGGTACGAACGAAAAGTTATTACTCTTCAAAACAGTTAAAACACATGTACAGGGTGGGTCAAATTCGACGCTTTTAAATGGAAACACCCTTTTCTATAGGAGATAGACGAAAACTAATATCGGTGTCTGGAGCTCAATTTTCATCAAAAACATTATGGTGAAAACCGCACATCAATATCTGTTACCGTTTCGGAGTTACGGGGTGTTTTTCAAAAATGTGCATTTTTAACAAATCGCTGTAACTTTTTTACTATGGAAAATTTTGTATTTCTATGAAAACATTTTCAAAGCACCTTTTTACGTAGAATTTAATGGTTTAAGTATATATTTTTTTAAATTAATAAATTAAGAGTTATCAACAGAAAAATCGATTTTTTATTTGGGATACCCTCTATATCTTTATTTAACTGAAAAGAATTTCAAATTACCTTTCCAAAAATATAGCACACTTGATATTTTGTTATAATCCCCTTCGAAATACAGAATTTTTAAAAGTTTGCCACTTTTAACTAGTAGGCTTTGGACCCCTTATTGATGATATGCCTTAATGGAACTCGAAAACATATTTTTCCAGCAAGACGACGCACCGCCTCTGAACGCTGAAGTTATCAGCAAATTTGTACAGCCAATTTCAAGAATAATTGAATAGCTAACCAAGATCCCAGCCGTTGGCCATCGAGGCCGCCTGACTTAGTGCCCATGGATCTAATCATATGGATGTATTTGCGGAAGAATAAAGGTTCCTTATTCTTCCGTATAATCTAGACAAGAATTAGAAATACTTAGCAGTTATGAGAGGGTATCTTTCACCCCCACTGAGTTAATGAATTCCGCGAGAAATGTTCAAAATCTGCCCCGTCTGTCCATAACAGAAGACGGTCGATATGTTGAACACCTGTAGCAAAATCTCATGTCTTGGTTTGCTATTTATTTTTATTGTTATTAAATATAGTTTAAATGTGTTGATGTAGGTTAAATATATTTTAAATTGTAAGAAAATTCTGCATCTCTCATAGCAAATATTATTTTCGTTTTAATTGATGCTCACAGCTAGAATTTTTTTACATTACAGCCGGTGCCGTTCAAAGCCTACTTATTTAAAGCGGGCGAATTTTTATATACTCTATATCTCGAAGAGGAATCGAGCAAAATATCAAGTGTGTTATATTTTTGGAAAGGTAATTTTAAATTATTTTCAATAAATTAGAAATATACAGGGTGTCCCATATAAAAATCAAATTTTCTGTTGATAATTCTTAAATTATTAATTTAAAAAAATTATATTTAAACCGTTAAATTTACATGTAAAAGGTGCTTTGGAAATGTTTTCATAAAAATACAAAATTTTCCATAGCAAAAGTTACAGCGATTTGTTAAAATGCATATTTTTGAAAAACACCCGTAACTTCGAAACGGTAACAGATATCGATATGCGGTTTTCACCATCATGTTTTTGACAAAAATTGAGCTCCAGACACTGATATTAGTTTTTGTCTATCTCCTATAGGAAAGGGTGTTTCCATTTAAAGCGTCGAATTTGACCCACCCTGTATAAGGTGGCGCCACATATAAGTAGGAGTCATATTGACATCAAAATAAAATTTCTCATATCTAAAAACTTCCAGACACCAATTTTTATCTAGATATTGAAGTTACTTTAGAAATGATTTAGAAAAAATCGAAACAAAAATGAAACTTCTACACCCTGTATCTTCCAAACTAAGCATTTTAGGACATACATTTATACGAACTTTTTTACTTATTTTTATCTGCGGAATATGCTGCCGAAGTTTCCGGAATACAGTTCGAACCACCCTGTATAATATTTTACTTATTTCGTGTTTTAAATAATAAATAATATATCTTGCTATTTTTTCAGATTCGTCCAGTTCTCCAAAAAATTAGATTCCAACTATTGAAATGTTGTTAGAACAGGTATTCAAAGAAAAAAAGAAACAAACTATATAGATTTTGTATAAAATTAAATGTATATATAAAATTATTTTTAAAGATTGCCATTATAAACATATTATGTTAAAATGAATTTCATAAATCGAGCTATACAATTTTAAAATTTAAGGAAGTTTTAAAAGAACCAGTTGAAATGTCAATGTATTTTTCTCAAAATTAGGTATTAAAATTGTATAATTGTAATGTATTCGGAATAGATTTTGGCAGATATTTTTTTAATTTTCTTAAATTATTGTTATGTTGTCTTTCCAGTATTCAAATATTTTCAATCATAGAGATAGCATTACTATCGATATTAAGTATGTACGATCTAAGTAGTCGAGAGATTGAAAAAATGTGTGTGTGATGATTATTATGATGTACAGTGTAAAATTATACTTTTATAATAAAATTTAAAAACATTATTTACATATTTTTTAATTCACCTTCATCCGAGTATAGACTATTTTTCTGATCCCTTCTTGTCCTACTGTGCTCTGTACAGTTTACAGGGTGAGTCAACGATAGAGTAAAGTCCATTATCTCATTTATTGTTTTGAGTCTTACAAAAAAATTTTAAAGATAAAAGCTGCGTTAAAATATTTGTAATATAGTGTCCTTTATTCTTTTTTAATTAGAAAATTAACACTGACAGAAGATGACAGTGTGTGTAGTTTTTCTAGACACTTAAATGTAATTGTCAGGCTTAAATCTACTGACCAGATAAGAATTAGTAGATAGCTAGCACTTGTACTGTACTGTGTACATTATATACAAAAAAATATATGGATGAAAAAATTGAGTTTTATTTTTTCCTATTTGCAAAAACCTATACTTTCATATTATAGATTTTTTGTCGCAACAAAACTACGTTGTTTTTTGCATTACTGTATTCAACGAATAAAAATACAAGAGAAAACTATAAAAATAATAACAAACAAGTTTATTGCAAGAAATAAAGACAGAATTTTTAAAGATATAATTGAAAAATCAATATTTATTTACTCTAATTTTATTTATTATACTTGTTTGTATAAAATTAACTAACTGAATACGTTCTTAGTCGATTTTTAACGTTATAATTAAGAATTTCGCAATTAACATGTTAATATAAGCTCTAAAAGAAAATTGCTTTAATTCAAATTTTTCGTCTTAGCCGCGAAACTGACTGCAGCGCCATATTATCTAGCGGCATTTTTTTGGAACTACATTAACATGTGGCGCCATCAGTCATTAACTAGTTATACTAGAAAAACAAATAAAAAGGATTTCTGTAAAAACCAGGTTTTACTGTGACATCTATCGGAAAATAGTTATGCTATTAATTTTCAAAATTAAATTAGAGAAATCTACTTTTTCGATGCCCCAAAAAGTGTTTAATAAGAGCCATCTATTATTTAGAATTTAGATTTAACACTTTTTCTAATTGTAACCAAAGAAAAGTGTCGTATGCCGGCCGGTCTTGGGGTTTTTTGAAATTTTGGCTAGAAAAAATGATTTTATTGTGTATTATTGGTTCGTAATATTTTCCTAAGGCTCTGCTCGACCTTTTGTAATAGTAAGTACCGTTTATTTCATGTTATATTACGTATTTTTTGATCTTAAAGTTTTGTTGTTATCGCCAACCATCATGGCGTTTCTTTGGTATTTAACAATATTTTTAAATAATAATATTGTTTAAATACGTCCTCTGCAATTCTCTATCTTAAAATCATGAAATATTACTACATAATTGAAGACCTGAATACATATATTACAATTTTCTTTTTGTTTTTTAAGCTGAATTTGCACATAACAAGTCCAACACAGACCCTATAGTTTTTTCAGATATTATCAATTTTCCTATGTCTAGTATATTATTTTCTATGTTTTAACATCATAAAACATATTTTCTAAATGTTTGGATATATTTGATTCTAAATATTTTATTATTTGTGGCATTTTTTATATTACATAATTTTTTTTGTCATTCCCATTTTTTTAAACTACGCATTTACAAATGTCTTGTTTTCCTTGTATTATTGTTTAATTTTAGGAAAGGTAAACACATATAGTTGTTATAATTTTTAGATGCATTAGCCAGGAAAAGATCTACTAGAATTTATTTTTTTAGTCTTGTTTTTGAAACCTCTTTTACACATCAATAAAAAGTTTGTTTTGATTTTTGAATGTCTGTATTTGTCATGCTGTTCTAAAAGACTGGGGATATTATGGAGGATTAAAAATCACTTTAAAAACTCTTATAAATATATTTTCTAGATGCAAAACACTAATCTTTAGTAGAAGATTGTGACTTTTGAGTGTGCTGAATATGTTTTTTTTTGTTTTAGACATGTTAATAATAGCACACACGAGCACACAGTCTTCATGCATCCTTTCACACAAGTGGAAAAGGTGGAGATCCCAGACAACGGTGCTTAATTGGTATTGGAAGTGACTATGGTGAGGCTTAATCGTCAACCAAGGGTTAAATACGATGCAGGAAGCTAAATAGGCATCGAGAGACAAAGATTTATGGTAAATGGAGGCTTCGATAAAACAGTTCAGTACTATCTACAACTACAACTTTGAAACTAAACAAAGTAAGTTTTATTTTTTGTTAATTCTATTATAAAAAAATTGTATTTCTCATAGTTTGTAGTTATTTTAGTCGTGTTATTGAATATACTTTAATCGATACCAGCAGATAATTTCATTTAGTTCTCTTTTAGTTCTTAATTTTTCTGTTTCCCTACCCAATTGTTTAAAAAAAAAATTAATTCAAGAACAAATAATTGGTTCTTGGATTTAATTTAATGCTATAATTATTATAGCCATTGTTTGTTTCTAAATATAAATTTTAAATGCATCTACTGTTATAATGCACTCACTTGACAAACAGTAGATATTAAATTAAACTAATAACATTAACTGAAGTATATACAACTGTGTAAAAATATACAACTTAATGATTCTATTTAGGAGGTTTTATCTTCGTGGCAGTTATTGGTATGTCCTTCATCAACCGCAACAGTTTGAAAAAGATGCCATTACAATTGATTAAATTCAACAGTGGAATGAGGATGAAATTCAACATTAAAGAGAAATTAAATAATTTTAGGTAAATTATATTATTTTTTTAATAAATATCTAATATTATTGTATGTAATATTTAATTGTTTGTTACAGATTTTCCAGGGCAGTACATTTTTATCCTTTTGATCCATATCCTAACCAACAATGCATCAGGACTTTTAAGTATATTTAAAATTTTATTTCTTTTCGGATAAATATATATTTCAACTGTTTATTATTTTTAAATTTGATTAAGTAGGAAAAAAATCCAATGAGTCTCTGAGTTACATTTTTATGATTCTTTATTATCAGACCATCTATTTTTATTTTGGGACAATATTTGGCTTTTGGCCACTTCATTTTCTTTTTTGTAAATTTTTGAAAACATCCACTTAGAACTTTACTTCAAGTTGTTTTTGGTTTATTTTTATTTCTCTGTAATAGCTTGACTCTCATATTTTCTTGCTTATAGGAATATCAGTATTTCTATAGGTTTTATTCGTTTGGTAAATGCATGTTTAAGTAAATGGTATATTTACTTAAATGGTAGTAGGATTTTACTTCATGTTGTTTATGGTTAACTTTTATTTCTCTATAACAGCTTGGTTTCTATATTTTATTCATTGTGGGAATAATATCATTTAGCGATTCTATGATATATTCCATTGACTGCATTTCTGTAAGTCTTATTTTATTTGTATTATTTCTCTTATGGTTTCATTTGATTCTTTTAATATTTTTTGGTTGGGTCATTTCTTCTGCAGAATTTTAGTTTTGATGGATTTCATTTTCATGTCGTTTTTCCCAGATTGTATGCCATGAATTGCTATAATTTTATGGATTCTGTTGTTTTAGTTTGCCTGTGTTTGAATATAACATAAACACACAATAACACACTTAAAAATCTCACAGCAAGGACTATTTTCCAGTAAATTCCTGGCGCATTCGCCATTTATTCAAAAAATCTGATGTCCATAGATAATGTCACTTTTCTTGTTCTTTGCATTTTTCCAATAAATTTTCCTGATTACCATCGACTCCAGAGCATCACAGCTAGCCTCCCCGCAAAAGAGGAGGTCTGGGTCGCCCCCTAACCCTGATGTTCGGCCATCGATGACCTGTGTAGCATGCAAGGGTACCCAAGGGTATATACCCAAAGGTCTTTTCGCATATATTCTCACTTATAACATATTCATTTCTGTCATATTTTCTTTATATTTGGAATATCATCATTCCTCAATTCTATAAACTCTTCCCAGTTATTGTCTTATATATTTGTATATTTTTATTTTGTCATTCTTCTGATACTTTTCTAAGGCATACTTAGAAAATCATTCAACACATTTCTATTGTCTGTATAAAATTATTGCTTTTTTATCAATTTTCGTCCTATTTTTCTAAAATCATCCCTCATTTTCGTGGCATATTTTCCAACTCATGTCTTTTATTTATTTTATTTTTCACTCATTACTCTTCTATTTGTTTGTCTTATTCATTACTGTTATCCTCCTAAGACATAGTATTTCAACAGATCTATTCCCTGTATTATATTTTTTATTATTTTTCAATACATCATATCTCTTAAGTTACTTTTTGTCTCCCATATTTTCTTCCTTGTGGGAATGGCATTAGTCAGCAATTCTAAAAACTCTTCCATTGAAAGTTAAGGTTGCCTCATATGTATATAATTTTATATTTTTTGTGTCATTCTTCTGAGACTTCTCTAAATTCATTCAAAGCCCTCCATAGACTACACGTATTAGTGTTTGAATTCTTTAATTTGTAGTTTTCCACCTTTTTTAAATATTACAATTAAAATATTTCTTAATTACGAATGCAGCCAACTTAGCCATGTTTTTTATTGTATTGCTATAAAAAAAGTTTTCTATGTTACGAAAAATTGCTATATAATACCTACTACCCTATTAATTTACTGAAAATGTAAAGTTATTGAAGTAATAGATTTTAATCAAGTATGTTAAGCGGGTCACACACGACCAGTATTATTGACAGTATTTCCAAAAATTGTCATTAATATTGACCGTGTGAAGGAAAACATACTGATGGGATTGTCAGTATACCGATATACTTTGGAAATCTTGAAAGTGTTTTGGGATACTGACAATACTCAATGCAATCAATAATACTGATCGTGTGAGGCCCGCTTTAGTGAACAAACAATTAATTATTTCTTATATATTTTCCTTACAAAACCTTACAGTTTCATTTTTTCCTATTTCTTAGAACCTACTTTCATATTGTCGATTTTTTTGTCGCAAGAAAACCATGTTCTTTTTTGCTTTACTGCATTCAACGAATAAAAATACAAAAGAAAATTATAAAAATAATAACAAACAAGTTTATTGCAACAAATAAAGACAGAATTTTTGAAGATATAATTGATAAATCAATATTTATTTACTCTAATTTTATTTATTATACTTGTTTATATAAAATTCAACTAACTGAATATGTTCTCAATCTAGTTTTAACGTTATAATTAAGAATTTCGTAATTAATACGTTAATATAAGCTCTAAAAGAAAATTGCTTTAATTCAAATTTTTCGTCTAACCCGCGAAACCGATTGCAGCGCCATATTATCGTAGTAGCATTTTTTGAAACTACATTAGCATGTGACGCCATCAGTCGTTAACTAGTTCTACTATAAAAACAAATAAAGGAGATTTCTGTAAAAGCTAGGTTTTCCTGTGACATCTAGCGAAAAGTAGTGGTATGTAATTTAGATAGAGTTCTGTAACTGTTCGGTTGTTGTGACATCTATCGGAAAATAGGTATGCTATTAATTTTCAAAATTAAATTAAAGAAATCTACTTTTTCGAGGTCGTAAAAAGTGTTTAATAAGAGCCATCTATTATTTACATTTAACACTTTTTCTAATTTTAACCAAAGAAAAGTGTCGTATGCCGGCCGGTCTTGGGGTTTTTTGAAATTTTAACTAGAAAAAACGATTTTATTGTGTATTATTGGTTCGTAATCTTTTTCTACCTCTACACTCCATAAAAAACAGCTTTGAGAGCTACAGTGACTCACTGCCGTTCTTTTCTAGAACTATCTTTTATAGAAAGCACTGGCTAGTGGGACTGGAAAACAATAAACAAGGCATAAACCACAGCATAAACTATCGAAAGCACGATACACTCACAAATAAAATTTGTTTTTAATTCCCATACTGATGAAGAAAGTTTTTAAGGATATAACCATTTTTAAATAAGATTTATTTTTTAATAATGATATTTTATCTAAAAAACATTGCAGGTTTGGGGTGTAAAATTCAGTCCGGATAATTCGAAAATTTTATCAGTTTCCGGAGACAAAAGTACTGTAATAAATGTACTGTGTGTTGTCCTAAGTAATAAATGCTTTTTATCATAATTTGTATTTATTAATATATTTTTTCTTGTAAATAAAGGATTTTTCAGCTTAATTAAATTTCAAATTTGAAAATTGTGACGCCAAAAGTTGAACAGATACGTCCGGTAAGAGCTGTCAACGTTGAGTCAAGTTAAAGACTTATGAAGTTATTTTTTATATAATTTATCTCATATTTCTAACTATTTAACTATATAGAATTAGTTTCTTATTAAACTAAAGGATATTTATTGAATAAAAACACTTGTTTCTTAATAATTTATTAAAATATTAAGGAAATGCATGATTTTATAGTTCATCTAATTACGTGGGTACCAGATAATTTCAATATAAAATAAGTTTTGTATGATATTTTATACTGGAGGGAATAAATACAAATAAAGACAAATCATTTAATTAATTTAAGAAGCATATTCTACTGAAATTTTAATAAAAATCATCCATGTTTATTAAAAAAAGTTAATATCGTGGCATCCAAGAGCAAAAAATACTCGATCGTGATTGGTCAGTTTCGGTCGCGTGGAGATTTTGAATTTTATTCTCGTTCGATGTTGTCGGATTGTTAAAAAATGCCGAAAATCTTTTTTTCTATGTGATTTTTGTAAAATTATATTAGTTTAAATTGATCACTGGCACTATAGTAAGGACCATTTCTATATATTTTTAATAAAACAAGTATCAGTAATGTTGTTTTGTAGAAATTTCTTTTATTTCTTCTTGTAACTACGTACTAACATTATAGTCTTTATTCTTGGTTTCGATGTATTTATAGCATTTAAAATGTATTTAAACAGCTTCATTTTATGTTTATTTCATGATTTTTGTGTGTTTATGTTTATAATTACTTATTTGTTTCATATTTATGACAATAAATATTTTACCTTACGTAAAAAAACGATATCAGTGAAACGTATTGAGTAAATAATAACTTTTGAGAACAAAATTAAGCTTAATTTAGAAGAATTTTCCTATAAACAATTTTATTAGTAATAAATTAATTAATTTTATGAGCAGCTTAAATTTTACGAATGACTTCAATCTGGCAACGCCGGTTTTCCTTTTGTCGTTTGCAATCGAAGGATCCGCACGTCCTCTCGTCGGTTGCATGGATTTTTTAATTTTCTCACGAAAAAGTGCGTTTAGTGTACACAATTTATGCGTAATCTGTTACTAGTGCCCTGCTTAGCCTCCTGAAAAAGTGAGTACCCATAATTTTATGTATTTTTTGGGATATTTTAGTTTAAAATTTTGGGATTTCGCAATATCCATCATGGCTGCCTTCTTCTCAATGTTCCCCATTAAGTTATTAATTTTTAAGAATATTGTTTAAATAATATACGTAGATTAATAAATAAGTATGTAAAACTATGTATTTTTGGTACTTTCTATACTGCGTGTTACATAAGGGTAAAATAGTACTACGTTTTTGGTAAATTACGTAATGTATCTTTGATTTTTTGTTTAATTCTTTCGGTCAAGGAATGTTTAAATAAAATGGCCGCCTGTTGAATTCGATGTCTTGATTTTTTCTAAATTGCTATTTTTAATTTAAATTTCTTTTTATAGGATATACTTGGAGTTTTCTTTATTTTTAAAAATATAATATGCGCATTTTAATAATATTTTGAATGAGTAGGTTTTTTGTATTAAAGTTTTAAATAGGTAGGTTCATTAGGAATTTTATTACGTATTTTTTTTATTTAAGAATCCTACATATATTAGGTTTCAGCATTTTCTATTTTAAAATATATTTCTCTTTTAAAGCGCGTTATGTAATATTACATGTTAAAAAATAGTATTAATGTTGACAAATGATTTTTGCTAATTCAGTAAATTTACATTGAAGAAATAAATCAATTGTTACTGAATTTTTATAAAAATTAAAATATTTCGAAAACAGTCAGTATGATTTTGCACACCTAAAGTATGTACCAGGATGTATTTCAGGAAAATATTTTAACTTCTATAGGGTGGCTCAAAAGAGTGCGAGTGGACCTGGATGATTTTTTTTAAATGGAACGCCCTGTATATTATTGCATTTTTGGCTTTCTTTCAGATCACTTTACATAATCCTAAGGTATGAATAAATATATTTCGATAGTTTCAGAGATAATAAAAAATTAATCAAAAATATATATTTTTCAGTCCTTCTTAAAAAAATAATTAAAAATACAAGAACTGTTCTGAAATCAAAATTATATTAGGTATTTACTTTAGATGGTCTGTACTTACTTTGCTATAAATATGAAAATCGTAAATTATACAGGATGTTCAAAATTCTACGCCAAACTTACTAAAATATAAAATAATTTTTCTTAGTTTTTTTTTTTAAATGGAACACCCTGTATATTATTTTTTCAATAGACGGAGGATTAAAAAATGAACAATTTTTGTATTTAGAGTGTTTCAAATTTTTTAATAGTTTCACAGATATTTGCGGTTTTATATTTCATATGGCATTTTCCACAGTAAATTTTTATCAAAGCCACCCAATGATTTTTCTCTCGTATTTTACCATTGAAAGCGCCATATGAAACCGTTAAAAATTATGAAATACTCTAAATACAAAAAATGTTCATTTTTTTACTCTCCGTCTAATAAAAAAATAATATACAGGGTGTTCCATTTAAAAAAAACAAAGAAAAAATATTTCATATTTTAGAAAGTTTGGCGTAGAATATTGAACATCCTGTATGATTTACGATTACCATATTTATAGCAAAGTAAGAACAGACCATCTAAAGTAAATATCTAATATAGTTTTGATTTCAGAACAGTTCTTGTATTTTTAATATTTTTTTTAAGAAGGGCTGAAAAATATATATTTTTGATTTATTTTTTAATATCTCTGAAACTATCGAAATATATTTATTCATATCTTAGGATTATGTAAAGTGATCTGGAAGGAAGCCAAAAATGCAATAATATACAGGTTGTTCCATTAAAAAAAATCATCCAGGTCCACTCACACTTTTATGCGCCACCCTGTAGAAGTTAAAATATTTTCCTGAAATACATCCTGGTACATACTTTAGGTTTGCACTTAGACAAAATTCTCAAGTTTTTTATTCTAGGAGCTACAGCTGCCCGAGTCTCATTGTTAAAAAAATATAACTTTAATGTTTTTTATTTATTTGAAATACTGTAGGTTTAATTTTTAGCTCTAAATAATATGTTACAACTCTAAAAACTCCTTGTGTATTTTTATTTTTTTATGTGTTACATCATGGAAAAATTCTTTGGATTTTGACCATATTCATCAAATTCATATTCTTTTTTTCTATGTCATATAAAATATTTATATTTTTGACATTTTTGGTATAATAATCAAGGAAAAATCTTATAAAATATTGCTGAGATATAAATGGAGCATCTCTTTTTTCATTTAAAATAAATATACCTATTTATATATTATCGTAATATTTTTATAGATGTTCGATAATATTTTTATAGGTATTCCAATATTTTTTTTCTTTTTTAGGCGCGTTATATTAATACTACAACACCACACACTCCTTCCCCACTCACACGAGCATTGCTAGCTCTCTGTGTTGGTTAATAAAATTTCCTAATTCAACATTAGTGAATTTCGTTAGCTGATGCGGCTGGTTAACAGTGTTTTTGTCGGTGTGGATCCCCGGCTTAAGATGACTCCAGAGCGCGGCGCGGCCTTCCCCAAGAGAGGAGACTTCTTGGGTCACCCCCTAACCCTGATGTTCGGGCATCGATGACCTGTGTAGCATGCAGAGGTACCCAAGGGAGTCACCACCCTCTGATTTACGAGCTAGGTGTTCTAATGCTAGAGGCTTCGGCCGGATACAACCTGGCACCCAAGCTCCGAGATTTCTTCGTGCACGTATTCCGTGACCCTCGAAGGGGCAGGGGCGGGATATCGGACACATTGAAGATGATGAGGGGGTCCGCCTGTAGGGGGTCCCGGTGGATGTCCGTTCGACGGGTGACGAGGGTGACCCCAGACGAGGCGGCTTAATTGGGATGGGAACTGACTGGTGAGGCTTAATCGTCGACCAATGGGTCGAATCTGCATAAGGAAGGCAACCAGCACACACTCGCAGGCGGGTCGTGGAAACATTTTTTTGTTTTTTCTCTTGGTCTGCCCCGCGTCGAATTTTGAAGGCAGAAAATGTCGAGAGGAGGCGAGCATAACCAGGCCTAACTTAGACCTGTTAAAAGTAAGTCTAATTTTTTTATATTACATTTAAATTGTAAACTTTTACTGTACTCTCTACCAAATAACTTTTTTATGCCACCATTTAGCAATCAAAATTCTTTTCATATAAGTGTTGTATATTTTAGTTTTTTTGTTACATGAGCTTCAATTTAAAGTAGAATAACTTGTATAGTAATTAGAGCAACTTTTTTAAAACTTATAGTAGATATTAGTTTAAATTCTAGTTTAATTAATGTAATTTAAAATAACTTTCTAATTTAACTTGTAGTTACTTATATAACTAATTTATTTTTTATCTTTTTAGGACAACCCGGGTTCGCAGCGCGATTTTAAAAAACAAGAATGAAGAAGTCAGAAATTCTATCTACATGCTGCATATGATCAGTCCCAAAAAATTTCGGATTGTTCCAGGCACCGTCGAATACCTGGAAAACGTGTTTATTGTCAACTCTACAGGATTGATCGAAGTCCATGGAGTTGGGGGTATTCGATGTGCCCCATAGCAGTGAGACGCCACTGTTTTTTTCGCCGTATAATTATTATGGCGGGACTGAAAATGAACTTAAGCAAGATGCGATGGTGAGTTTTTATATTTTTACATTGTTTGTTTTTGTTGTCTATAGGTTGTTTTTTGTTTCTTCTAGCATATGTATGCTAGATAGATGTATAGCATATGTATATTTGTTAGAAATATTCTAATATTATTTTTTTTCTCTTACAGGTGATACGGTATGGCTTGGAGAACTTCAAAAGTCGGTTAGCGTCGTGGTTCCAAAGCAGTAACTTTAGGTTCTCTACATTTACAGAATGTCGCATTAAGTACTCATTTTTTAATTTGCAATTTTTACATTCATTTTTACTTTTTTCTTACTCTATACAAGGCTTTAATATAAAGTTTTTTTAGTAATAATAAATGGGTAATAAAAAATAACTCTAAAGAGACACAATCAGGTAGCATATTGTTTTTCTATTATATTTGGAAATAACTGAGGTCTTATTTTAAAATTGATAATATTGTTTAATTTTTTTAATGGTGATTTTTAATTAAACGTAAATAATGTAATTTTACATTACAATGAGAATTAAAGTATTAGTAATTTATTTTTGTTACTAAAATTAAAATCAGTTTGTTCCTGCATAATTCTTTTTAATACTAAACTGCTTTGGAATGAATTTTTTTGGGGAACAACAGCAGGATTAGGGCCGTCTTCTAGATGCCATCAGGTAAATTTATATATCTTTATATTTATCATTTTCTTTGACTAAAAAATTGTTTTTCTTTTTTTAGGTAGGTGCGCTAGCGTAGTCGTTTGTTGTAGCATTATATCCCTTTTCCCCCTTTTTTAAAAATGTTTGTAAGACGCCTGAAATTTGTATAAGTTAGTTATATAAGTAGTTGAATAAGAATTGGTGAGAGTTGGAAAATAGAAGAGGACAGAGAAGATGGAAGAGGATTGCTTTGAAATAGAAGGAAAGAGATAGAAAATTTTTGAGGAAAGGAGGAGGATTTTGTTCGCTGTAATGGAAGTTTTTTGAATGAAATTTGGTGCAACTGTATTAAGGTAATTTTTTTCATCCAGTTACAAAAAGTAAATACTTATCACAACTTATATTTTTTATAGATGTTATTGATATCTTGGACATCAAGTTTCATTTATTTGCGTATTATACAAGCCTATCTATTGGTGGAAATGTAAAATGGCAGCTGGTATAACACCTTGTATGAATTATTAGTAACTCCAAAGAAGTTTTTACATAATTTAAACTGGGAAGAAGCTCATAAAAGACCAGTTTAGGCTGCAGTAGTACCAGGACCTTAAATTGGCTTCCACAACACAGATATCTTTCAAAAATTGTAAGTTTTAACAAATCATATTCTTTTTTTTAAGTTTCTGGAATGCTTGAAAATTATGATAAATATTCATTATCTACAAGTTTAATATATTGACTTTATACTTACATATATATTTTAATAGGTATTGTTATGGAGTCTGTGGGTCCACTAATTTAAACTCACGATAAAATATTTAATGAATTTATTTTCTCATTATATACACACATAATTAACTATTTAAAAATCCTTCACCATTTTGTCAACATTTGCTATTCAAAAACTAACCGTATTTTAGATAGCGGCTGCTTCTCGAACGTTTGAAAATTATCTTTATCGTTTTTTTTTATTTAAATTAATTTAATTTGATACTACAATTTTTCCTATTTATTTTAATTTTTAGATATCTGTTCGAGTGATGTACTGGGCGTTAACAGTTGCTGTTACAAATCTGCAAATGAGTTAGAACTGTACATAAGTTTGAGGAATGTCAAGAAATGTTTTGAATGAAACGATAGTGAAAAACTTGTCCACAAATGTCAATTTCAAGATACAATCAATAGTACTTAGATTGATTAGCCTTCATTACCATTATGCTATAAAAATGGTAAGTTATTTTTATTATTTTTTTATGGCTACAATTTTTGTATTTAACTACAAAATTGTAGGCTTCAAATTCAAAATAAAATATGTTTGAGATTGAAAATATATTAATATATTTTTTTCAATCTTTGTAGTTATTTACAAATTTGTATCAGACAATTTTAATTTTATTTAGTATGTTTTCTTTTTGTAAAAATCTATGAATATTTGACAATATTTTAAAGAGTTACTATTGCGTTTATTTTTTAATATCTACCTAACATATTAAAAAACACATATTTTTTTATTCCAAAATGTGATGAAACTGACTTTATAAAAATTTACTTATTTATTTTTTGTATTTTTAGTCAGCAATACAAATTGGTATTAATGGACGTTTTGACAGCTGTTTCCAGTCCAAGTTCCAGTTTTAATGGAAAATCTTTAATGGACACAGAAAAATGCCATTTACTGGATTGACTTCAACACCTGTTGCCTTTTAATAATGGTAAGTTATGCCTCTCAACTTATTCTTATAAAATTTAAAAGTCTTATAAAAATATTAAATTTTCCATCGTATTCAAGCTCTTTTGGCTCAATATTAACAGGCTCTATTTCTGTTTTCTTTTGTGAACTAAAACAATAATAAAAAAGACTTAAAAGCGGGACAAAATAAAATACAGACACGGTATTACTGGTTGCATATCAGCGTTCTTGGGAAAAATGCATAGTTTTTAAATCTTTTTTTAATAATTATTCAAGTTTCCACTAACATACACGCAATAAAATGACAAACCGAGTAAATATAAGTTGATTTTTTTTATTTTGATACTATTAGTAAAGTAGATACCTTATTTAAATTTTTTTCGATCATTAAAACCGCAAATATATTAATTATAATTATTTTTTATTAGAAAAAATTAACTAATTTTAAGTCTATCTAAGATCTTTATTGTTTATTGTTTATTTTAGGTATACAACGGTACAATTGCTGTTAAAGTCAACAAGCAGTACTAGTTGCAGATAATATATTATGATGGACATCAGAAAGCTTTAAACGGAATGAAACTTGCAGGAAAAATAAAGGAAAACCATTTTAGACTGTATACGTAATAGTTGTTAGAGTGGATGCAGTCCTCCATCAATGGTAAGTTATTTATCTCTTTTTTTTATTAAATTTCTTTGACAAGGTTGAAAATTATGATAAATTTAGTATGAACAAACTGACGTCATAATTTTTTTTATTAGTTATTTTTTTTATCTTTTAATTTTTTTTTGTACTTTTAGTGAGCTGAACAAAATGGTGGTAATGGACATTTTGACAGCTGCTGTCACAACTCAACGAACATGTTGCAGCGTTGAAGGAAAATTTTTGATTGGATACAGAAAAATGTCAGTCGTTTCAGGATGTAAAGTTAATAGAACCAGGGTCGGGCTCGACATCTGTTGCCTTTTAATAATGGTAAGTTATTTCGATCATTTTATATACAGGGATTTTCATACAAGTGGTTCATTAAAAGTTTTTTACTGTATATATTTTTCTAAGTCTATAACTAGTTTAATTTGGACTAAATTTAATTTTAAAACATTTTTATTGGACTAGTTACGTGAAATACCCTGTATATATGGCATTGATTAGCTTGAAAATTTTGTAAAATGATTAAATTTTACAGAATATTCATACTCTGCAGTTTGTACAGTGTTAGCATTTTATTTTGCCCTAAATTTTAACAGGTTTTAATTTTTTTTTATTTTAGAAGCTAGAACATTCATTAAAAAAAAGAAATTATAAAGTTTTAGCTCAAGTTTTAATGTGTATTTTTTTAAATGGAAGACCCTATACATTAAAAATATATTAGGTGGCACATTTTTTAATTTCTGAAAGACACTCGTGCCCTTTCTTTGTAATAGTTTTATCAGAATTTAATAAAAAATACACCAAAATTATGATGTTTATTTCTCTTTTTTTAATTTATAGGGCATTTCACTGAAAAATATACAGTTTTACCAATAACTGGGTGATACTTGAGAGTGTATGACATTTATCATAATAAAACCGTATTAAAACTTGACTGGAAAACTAATATAATTGTGTTTTTAATTAATACTAGAGCTCAAAAAATTAAAAACATATGGCCAGTTAAAGTGGAAAAAAATACAATGCTAACAGTGTTTTACTGGTTGCATATCTTTAAATTTATTTCAAAATTATTAAAGTTGTCACCAAAATAACGCAATAAATTTACGAGTTATTACTAAATATTAATTTTTTCTTTTTCTTTCTATATCTTGTAAATTAGATATTTATTTTTTGGATTATTATTAACTCATTATAATAATGCTTTATTTTCTTATCAAGGAATTTTACAATTTTATATAATTTCGGAAGTTATCAATAAAAGTTTTTTTTTAATTTTATACAATTCTTTATAACTTATTTAAATTAATATAAAAAATGTCTATTATTATAGTTGTAAATATTAACATAATTTATGTTATTGTCTGTTTTCTGATAGCTTCAAAAATTGCTATAATAAAAAATTACCTAATATTTTTTTTTTTATTTAGGCATACGATAGGACAATTGCTATTAGAAACCGATAAGACATACTAGGTGCAAATAATATGTATGGTGGTTATAAAAGAGATTTAAATGGAATGAAACTTGTGCAGAAGAAATCGAGGAAAACCATTTTGAACTGCTGTTACTTATTAGCTGTTAGAGCGGATCCAGTTCTTCATCAATGGTAAGTTATTTATCTATCTTATAAAATTTCATTGGACAGCTTGAAAATTTTTTAAATTTTCTAATATTAGAACAGCCAACAACTATTAAAAATAGGCAGGATAAAATAAAATGCTGATACTGTATTACTGGTTGCATATAGTTACGGATTACGTGGGTCCGCTAATTTAAAGTCACGATAAAATACTTACCGGATTTATTTTCTCACAATTTTTATACTGATTACAACACACATTTAACTATTTAAAAAAATCCTTCGCCAAATTGTCAACATTTCAAAACTGTTTGGTTTAAAATTACAAAACTCGTCACACACACCTTGACGATAAAGTTCCCACTAGAATAAACGCCATAAATATATATTTTTATAAATATAATTTTGATTAATCTTTTTTATTTTTGTTTTTTATTAATATTGTTTTCAAAATCTTCCAAAATTAGTATAGTAAAAATTTACTGAATATTTTTTTGGAATTTTAGGTATAAGATGGGATAATTGCTGTTAAAAATCCACAAACTGTACTATCTGCAAATATTATGGTGGACATCAAAAAGCTTTAAATGGAATGAAATTTGCAGGAAAAGACTCACAGAAAGACCATTGAGAACTGTACTTAATAGCTGTTACTGTGGTCGCAGTCCTTCATCACTGGTAAGTTATTTATCTCTTTTTTTCTTATTAAATTTCATCGACATAATATTCAAGCTGCACAGGTCTCTGAGGTCAACGTCTATTCCTATATGTCATTTATTAATAATTGATATAAAAACTTGTCAAAAATAATATTTAAATGAAAAAAAGGAAAAAGGTTTCAAACATACCGATTATTATTCAAAGGTGAAAACATTAATTTTAAAAAAAAATATGAACTTTGAATTTTTTTAACATTTCTGTCTTTAATTTTTTATAAATTTTTATACCAATTTTTTATAAATGATATATTGTGGTCTACCTGGCAGAAATAATTTTCATTAATTGTTATTTCAAAAGCCACTATAATGCTGCTTTTTTTCTCATAGGGTATATACAAATTATTAATTTAAAAAACATAGTTATTGCATTAATAAAAATATATTTATTTTAATTTTTATGTATATTGTTTTATTCTTTTTTTTAATATTATTTTTATTTTATTTTTTAGATATCTCCTCATTTTCTTAACAATGGATATCAACCAACAGTTGCTCCTACTCCTCACTTTCCTCTTTCACTCAACATAAAGCAGACTCAATACTTCTCAATGCCTCACCAAGGTTCGTTAGCTTCATTAATATTGTTATTGTTTCAATAAATTTGTTTACTGGTTTTTATCCTCTACTTAACTACTTAAGTATATCAGGCGTCATATTAGTGTTATTGATTTTTGATGTTAATATAAATATTTTGTGAGAGTGAATCCAATTATTTATTATTTTTTTATTTTACGCATATAAAACTATTTGTCACACGTAAAAAACTATTTTTTACGCGCATAAAACTGTTTGTTACACGTAAAAACTGTTTGTTACACGTAAAAAAACTATTTTTTATGCGGAAAAAAATATTTTTTTAATTTATTACATTTTCAACATTTCAAACTACACATTTTCCAATACAGGGAAAACTTACAATAGCTATAATTTTTAAACCAAAAAAGATATCATAAAAATAAAAAATACTGTTTCTATAATATCGAGGGGGAATACATATGATGCTGAAAAGTCACTTTTTTCATTAATGTCCACCTAATTTTTCGTGTAAGGGGTAGTTTTTCAATTTCACCCTAAATACTTTATGATCATCGTTTAGCATTTTTTATGGGCTTTCCAAAAAAGCGCCACAAGTGGGGTGTTGCCATTTAAGATTTTCAAGTGAGTAGGGGTGCCGCCCAAGGGGTAGGTCGGGGTGGTTCAAAAAATACGTCATATGTATTTCGCCTCGATATTATAGAAACGGTATTTTTTATTTTTTTGATATCTTTTTTGGTTTAAAAATTATACCCATTGTTAGTTTTCAGTGGCCCACCCTGTATTTCCTTCAAATCCTTCAATTTAACAGCTGTTAGTAAGCAGTTTGACTTCAAATATGCGCAACAGTGCACACACATTTTTTTTTATATGATACATTCCATTTGCTAAACTGTGTTCCAGAACTTAAACTGAAAAGTTCTTGTTTATTTTTAGATGGACAAATTTACAAGAATCGCAACGGTCAGGCATGGCAGTACTGGACGTAACAGTTCCTACAGGATACATCATACAACAGCAAGATTTAGATGCATATATTCTTTCGAGGAGAGTCAGAAACTTACAGAGGGCCAAGTTCCAAGAGCGCAAAGTCTTGTTTTACTTTGACTACGTAAGATTTCCTTCTGCTACAAACTATAAACAAATTTAACTTCTTTTTTCTTTCCAGCTGGATAGTGAAGACATCTGTGTTAGTTTCACCGTGGAACGATGGTTCCCTGTGGCAAATATGTCCAGATATATAGCTGCAAGAGTTTATGATTACTATGCTCCAGGTATAGAAGAAAATCGCTTTATATTATTTTATTTTAAACTATTTTTCTTTCAGAGAGATTCAACGAAACCTTGATAGATGCCCTATCCTCATACACCTTAGACATTTGCCAGGTGTGTGGTAGTTACCAGTGCCCCTACTGCTGGATCTATAACGCAGCCCCGAGTCTTTCAAGTCCCCCATTAGTACTTATCCTTTCAGTGCTACTAACGGTAGTCTTTGCTCAGCGTTTCGAATTCTACGCGTGATCAATCTTTCCCACGTAAAACTCTGTACCATATCAAGTGATAGCGATACAATGTAGTACAAAAGAAAAAAACGAGATACATTTAATGCCTAAGGAATAGGGCAGCAGTGAAAAATACGAGAGATAGACGAAATCTAGTTATTTTTAATTGTGGTGCCTGTCGCAGGTAGGGTAAGGTCGTGTTTTCTGTGAAAATGCGTGCGTTTGGTACCGTTACCAATAATGGAAACGAAGAAAAGATTCTCCTAGTCTCAATTAATCGTAAACCGTCCAAGGGGACGCCACTCCAAGTGAAGCGTCACCATTTTTTATATCTATTTTTATTTAAAAGAAAAGGCCTAATATATTTCTCCTAATGGGTAATAAATAGCATTGTTTTTATACTTTAGTCTTTAGTTTGAAATGGAAACAATATTTTGGTGTGTATTCTCTGTTTATGAATATGGTAAGATTATTATCATTTATTTAATTAATCAAGGATATTAAAGTATAAAAACAACGTTAATATATAAGTGATTTTAGTTTGTCCATTTTGTACTTTACTTACTTTTTTTAAGCTTATTTATATCACTAAACAGACAAACTACCTTTGTGTGGACTTCTACATTTTTTCTGTTAGAATCTCAAGATGTGTTAATTGTAATTTTCAAAATTATATTAAAACAAAGAGTATGTTGGTCTGATACACATGATATTATTTTTGTATGTACATCGTTTTTATTTGTGCTCATTTTTCTACCCCAAACACATTGTAAATATATACGTTTCTTTTGTTATATATAGGTAATAAGGTGTAGATCAAAAAAAAATGTTTGTATACAAAACGTTGACTTAAATAAAGAATCTCTTTTTTGATAAATTGCTTTATTAAGTTTTTTCTGGTTCCTCATCATATTCAGGCACATAGTCTTCTTCGCACATTTCCTCGTCTAGTGCCTGTAAGTTCTGCAAGAACATTTGCTTTTGCTGCGACAGCAAATATTCCTGGTCAGTCGTCCAGTTCTTCTCGCCTTTCCGTAGTTTATCTTTCAAAATCTAAACAGAAAAACAACATAAATGACTTAAAAAATGATTTATAATTGGTACGAACCTCTCTAGAACGCAAGAACTGTCTCAGAGCCTGTCTTTGATCTTCTTGACTAACACACTGGGCTTGAATTTCATCGACTTTTTCAACAAAATTGTCTGCACTATCACTTTGCATTTTTCTATGAGCCCCTTCTGCTGCCTTTTTACCTTTCAATATCTACAAAAACGAAACTATTACCTAGCACAGTTTTTTGATAACACAACAATCTTACATGGCTCAAAATTTGGGCATGGTCTAAGCCCAAGACATTTTGGGGCATTTTAGGTGGTGGAGTTGAATCTATTTCGCTGTC